TAAATATTTCTCCTAGTCTAATATATGCATGCAGCACTGTAAATTTCCCTCTCAGCATTACTTTTGCTGCATCCCACAAATTTTCATAGGTTTTATTTTAATTTTCATTTAGTCTAAAATATTTTAAAATTTCCTTTAAGACTTTTTCTTTGACCATGTATTATTTAGAAGAGTGTTGTTTAATCTCAAAGTAGTTGGGGATTTTCCAGCTATCTTTCTGTTATTAATTTCTAGTTCAATTCCATTGTTATGTGAGAGCATGCTTTGTATGATATTTATTTGTGTTAAGGTATGTTTTATGACATAGAATGTGGCCTATCTTGGTCAATGTTCTGTGTGAACTTGAGAAGAATGTGTATCCTGCTGTTGTTAGATAGAGTATTCTATAAATATCAATTAGATGTAGTTGATTGATGGTATTATTCAGCTCAACTATATACTCACTTATTTTCTGCCTGCTGTATCTGAAAATTACTGAAGCTATATGGAAGTCTCCAACTGTAATAGTGAATTCGTCTATTTCTGCTTGCAATTCTATCAGTTTTGCCTCATGTATTTTGATGCTCTGTTGTTAGATATATGTACATTAAGGATTGTTATGTCTTCTTGGAGTATTGACCTTTTTACCATTATGTAATACCCCTCTTTATCACTGATCATTTTCCTTGCTCTGAAGTCTGCTTTGTCTGAAATTAATATACCTACTCCAGCTTTCTTTTGATTAGTGTTAGCATAGTATATCTTTCTCCATCCCTTTACTTTAATCTACTTGTATCTTTATATTTAAAGTGGATTTCTTATAGACAACATATAGTTGGGTCTTGTTTTTTTATCCACTCTGACAACCTTTGTCTTTTAACTGGTGAATGTAGAGCATTCACATTTAAAGTGATTGTTGTTATAATTGGATTAATATCTACCATATTTGTAATAGTTTTCTAGTCATTGCCACTTTGTTTCTTTTTTTGGCTTCTGCTCTTTTTCTGCCTTCTCTGGTTTTAATCAAACATTTCATATGACTCTGTTTTCTGTCTTCTATTAGCATATCAATTATACTTCTTTTTAAAGAAAATTTTAGTGGTTGCCCTACAGTTTGAGATATACATTTACAACTAATCCAAGTCCACTTTGAAATAACACTGTACCACTTCATAGGTAGTGCAAGTACCTTAAAGCAGAGTATTCCCAATTCATCCCTCCCAGCCCTTATTATAACATTGTTGTCATTTGTTTCACATATCCGTAAGCTATAATCATGGGATACATTTTTTGCTATTATTATTTTGAACAAACTGTTATCTGTTAAATCAATTAAGAATATTTTGCCTTTGTTTATTTGTTCTCTAACCTTGTTCTCTTTCTATCTTTATGTAGATCCAATTTTCTGACCTATATCATTTTCTTTCTCTGAAGAACTTCTGTTAACATTTCTTAAAGGCAGGTCTAGTGGGAATAAATTTCCTCAATTTTGGTTTGCTGAGAAAGTCTTTATTTATCTTTCATTTTTGAAGGATAATTTCACTGCATACAGAATTCTAGTTTGCTGGTTTTATATCATTGATCCTCATCAGAACCCTAGGCCTTGAATAGAGACAAAGCATATAATGTTCTCTGATTTAGCAGATGAAGAACCAGAGGAAAAGTCACTTGTCCTATGGTCATTTTGTGGTTGGGTCAAGGATGAAATCTGGGTAGGCCTGCTGCTGTCCTCCATGGACCTGATTGTTTTATAAGATCCTCTTTTCTTAATGCCAAATAGGGAAACCGCCTGCCCATGTTGATCAAAATCTGTCTGATCTCAATCTTACTCCCATCAAAGCAATCCCAAGTACTGCACAGCTATATTTCACACTCTGATGCATTTGTGGTTTGTGCCTGCAGAAATCATGATAGTTAAAAATATGGGAAATTGGAATGCTATAGAAATGTAGCTTGTTAGCAGAGAAACAGACATGTAACAGTGGTAGTGCTCTGAGTAGGTATGAATAAAGTTCTGAGTATCTAAAGAAAATAAATCAATATATCTAAAATATAGAATTCAGCAGGGGTTACTGCTTTTGTTCTGGGTCAGGATGCTCACTTCTAATATGGGATAACTCTAGCTCCCTGACATTTTCTCTCTGGAAGCTAGAAAACTATAATGGCCTCAAGCAAAAGCAATGGGCATGACAGATATAGAGCCAGAGCTTAGAGGTCCATGTTGAAACTCATAAGAATTATTTTCTGACCATGGTAAGCTATGTTAGAACAAGAAGGAACTCCTACACTGCTGAGATGATGTATTCATTATCGCTTGTGGGAAATGTAATATAATCTAATAATAATTTTGTGTATACTTTTGCATCCTCATTTTTTCCAAAGGATATACCAAATTTCTACGAAGCAGAAGCTCTCTGAGAGCCCTTCTCTGACCCAAGATGAAGTGTAAGAAAAGTCTTTTGAGTCCCCGTTTCTTTCAGTACTCTTCATGCCAGGGCCATTTTAGGGGGAAAAAAAAAATTTAGTTAGCTAGTTACCTCACACTGTATACCAGAATCTATACCAGATTAATTACAGATTTAAACATAAAAATGAAACCATAACAAAACTAGAGAAAATGTAAAGAGTTACCTATATATATTACATTAGGGAGGGCCTAACTAAGCATGACACTGACGGCAGTAATCACGTAAGAAAAGATTATTAGATTTAACTACATATAAGGAAAGCCTTTCACACCCTTTGACCCAATGGTACCATTTCTAATGATACATCCTGAAAAAAACCTTTAGACAAATATATACAAATGTATATATGTAAAAACATCAACTACAGCATTGTTTATAATAGTGAAAAACTAGAAACAACCCAAATGTCCATCAAAGATGATTAATTAAACACTGGTGCATCCGTATTAAAAATTATAATGCAAAAATGTAGTTATTGACATAGAAAATGTTATCAAACATTTTTAATTTTATCCCATTTTGTAAAAATATTTATATGCATAAAAGATTTCTAGATGTGCATAAAATATTAATAACAGTTATTTGTAGGTACATTAATAACTTTTTCCTTTTGCTCCTCTTATTTGTGTATGTATGTACACATGCATTTATATATGTGTGACGACTAGGTATACCTTGTGTAAAAATAATAGAAGCTTAGAAAAATATTTAAAAAATCTTCCCTTTCCCTCTTTTCATTTGTGGATTTAGGTCAAACTTTCTCCAGGAAGTTTTTTTCCCCTTAACTAGCCAGTATAGTTTCTGAAGTCCCTTCTCCTTAGTATTTTCCTATCTAACTGTAAATTCTTTAAGTATAGAGCTGCATTTCATTATTTACTGTGCTACCTCCCATAGGCATGCTCAGTAAGGACTGGTTGGCTGGTAATGGTCTGATTTCCTCAAAACCTGCTTTGAAGTCTGATGTAACAGCATTTACCCTTAAGCAGCTGAAATGGTCAAAAACGTGGCACACTTTGGCTATGAGGGCAGGGTTATTACAATGGCTGTCTTCCTACTGTTCTTCCAGGCTGTGATGGCTGACTGGCTGGCTGATAGCTGGCTGATGGGGCTGGGCCCTTTCTGAGTAAATCTTTCCCCAAACAGCTTTCTTGTTCAAGGAGGAGGCCCTTCTCAGGTTGAGTTGCTGCCTCTTAGTCAGTAAAATCTCTTTAGCTGTGCTTCCCTGCCAGAACCTCCATGCACATTCACAAGAACTCTCAGTGCAGTTAAAAATCATAAAGGATGGGTAGCAAAGAAAGAAGACAAAGGACTGGAAGGAGAGAAAAGGAGAAAAAAAGGGTAAGAGAATGGAGATTCATGATCTTAAGTGCAGCAGGTTGCTCCAACCTAAAACATCCCCTGTACATAATAATACCTACTGTTGCACATGAAATTGCTTTACCAGAAAAGTCTGTGCAGACATTGGTTTTTCAAGGGACCTGTGCAAGCTCTGATGGCCACTTTGGCAGCCCTCTGGGTTATAGATTTTACTGACCTCTAGTAGGGCCTCCTCTTGTAGGTAGAGATCATTCCAGGCTTGCTGCAAGGATCAAATGAGATGATAAATGGGAATACGTTTTATAAACTATAAGGTAATATACAAATGCTTGGTGTTCTTTTTGTAAGCTCTTGAGGGCACTGACAATGGTTTAACGTTGTATAATAGTGTCTCCATGGGAATTTGGAACAGATTTTAAATGCCTGTATCTAAACAGTCAAATCCATCTACAGAATCAAGAGAATTGAGTTCCTAGAAAGGAAAAAATGACTGGAAGAGACCTAAACTATGTATATCTCGGGAGTTGTTGTCACCTAATTATATTAGAAAATCCTTGGGTTTTCTAAGTGCCCTCAATTGATTAGAATTATCTTCTTTAGAAGTAATTCCCAAGAAAATGCTTGTGATTTCACTGTCGATGAAATTGATGATACTTCTTTTAAAATGTCTGTTAACTTATGGTAAATTACAATGGGAGTGCACGGGACCCCCACATGAGCATATTATGCTCAGACTATTTTAATAACTAACAAATCATGATAAGGAAGTGACTAAAAAGTAAACTGTTGCTCTAATCTTTCCATGAAAACAACCCTTTTTTCCTTCCAGCTTCAACATACGAGACTTCATCTCAGATCCTCACCTGAATGCATGACTCTTCAACCTCAGGACTTGCAGAATTAGTGGAATGCCGTCCTAAGGTTGTTGAGTTGTGCGTTTCTGGGCATTTCATCTCTAATGGAGAAGCACCCATTCCCTCACCCCAAAGACTAAGGCTAAAAGATTTTTCTCCCCAGGGAAGAATCTTCCTTGTAACTTTCACAGCCCCAACAGTCAGAAGACAGACTGGGGAGGTTTAATATTTGGGAGATACCTTACCAAAACCCTGACCCTTGGCTGTGGGACTCCCTCAAATGTGCAATGTCTTCGGGGTCCCTCCTAGTGACAGTCTTAGAAAACAAATTATTTTCTGTTAATTTCCAGTGACTTAATTTTCTATTTTCTTTTTCTAATAGGTCCAGTGAAAAACAAGAAAAAGGGTAAGTTAAGCTCCTGACTTTTTTAAATTGCTATCATCCCATGTCTTTTCTAAAATTAAAAGAAAAAAATCAGGAAAGTAGAATTTTTGTATTATGTTCTTTCAGCATTGGTTGTCTGTTACTTTATTCAATCATACGTGATCTTGAGTATTGTAGTTTCTAAAAAGAACATAAAATTGTTCTTCAGTGATGATTCATAAAAGATAGAATTACTTCTCTAGCAACATATAAAAGTTTTTGTTTTTCTTTCCTGCTCCCTCTTCTGTACAATTCAATATACATCTCTTTCCTTTATTTTTCCTTACTCTTTCCCCCTTCTTTTTTCACCTTGTTTTCTTCCTTTATCAAATCAGTGATCAAATATGAATAAAATCTTGAGACAGCTTCTAGAAGCTAATTATACTGCCCATTGAAAGATACCAGTATCCTATTTCTTGGCCTAAAAGCTTTCCCTATTCAATTTCTCAGATAGTCATGGAAGGTATTTCTTGCTTCGGGGGATTTAATATCATTTTCTCTGTGATGGAAAAACTAGGCTGGAGTATTACCATGATCTTTTAGTCTTTTCAAAGAAGCAGCTTCTAGTTGGGAAGTTCCATGTGCTGTTGTTGTTGTCCCCAGTATACTTGTGATAGGACTGGCCCAAGGGCTTGTACAAGTGCTCACCTACTTGAAAAGGAGAATCCAAAGACCGAACAGTCTTCAAGGATAGGATCAGACAACATGGTCCACTCCTTAGGACTAAAAGAACCAACTCTGAAACCAGTTAAAGTACCTGTAGTACCTATTCATTTCTGGGTTCTGACATTGGAGGAAGATAGTAGAGTAAAACTAATGATTTTTTCATTAAGATGCTTTAAGTGAAATGATTCTGTCTGATAAGATTCATGGAGCTTTATAGAGTAGATTATCAACCCCAGACTAGGCCAAAAAGACTAACTTCAGCTGCAGCCTGCCTATTCTCTGAGTACTAGGATACTTTGGTACCTTGAAGTATCATGGTTCACGTGGAAAACTTGTGTCCTTGTCATAAAGAAGCTGAGGAATGGCCTAGCCTCCTGAGGGCCTGAGCTGAGCAAAGTTAGGAAACAGCCAGAGAGCTGGAGTCAGTAGGAAGCCTTTCCCTGTGGGGCCTGGGCATTCACCACCAAGTATTCTGTCTTTTAAAAAAGTAAATTTAATTTTCAAGCATATAGTTCTTAACTCCTGTCATAGCCCTTTAAGACAGAGATTATAATTTGGATCATTGCCTGGCACTGCTACCTTGTGTATGGGACATTATTGGGAAGAGAATGCATATAGGCCTTAAATGTTTACTTTGGCTGAAAGTAATTTAGAAGCCATTTAATATAGATTTCCTTGGACACAGTGAATAGGCGCATGCCTGAAGAGGTAAATTGAGTTGTTCAGTTAATTTTCACACTTTAATGGAATTTTCTTTCTCGCACAACTGTCTCTCTCTCTCTCTCACAACTCTCTCTCTCTCTCTCTCTCTCTCTCTCCCCTTTCAACATTTTGGGCTTAGCTAAAAGGTTAAGGAAATGCCTCTTTGATGAAGTTTAACTTGGAAAGGAATGTATATATTCTTTCATCTAAGACTACACAGAGTAACTTTCTAAGTACAAACGTCTCTGGGCTTTTGTGTCATGAAGTGCTCTGTTAAAGTAAGGAAATCCGGAGAAGGGATTCAATCCTGTAAAGTCGTCCCCTTGGTCCAGGGGTCATTTTGTACATGCTCTTCTCTGGGCCCAACTTTTTGTAGTATGCAAGTACGAGACGTGCACTTGCCTAAACATGGCTGCAGAGAAGCAGAGAACCAGCTGCAGAACTGGATCATGGCAAGAGTGTTTTCTAAATGCCTTCTAACATTTTCATAAGTGAACATTTTCTATTTACACTGCAACCATTATTCTCTTGGACTGGAGGAGTTTCTGGCTGTATTTCTTCCAAAATTACATTAGCAATTACAGGAGACTCATTCTTAAAGCTGAAGTTTGCGCTACCCACAGAACACCCTCTAGCTTGAAAATCACTCTTAGGTCTAGAAATATTGAGACACAGGACAGCCTAATATATGCCACCCAGACACAAAAAATAAGGAGAGAGAAGCAAGTTTTACAACAAGGTTAGGGAAGTTCCTGACTGCAAGGGGTAGATCAGTCCTCCTTAATGGAACCTCAGTCTTGGGAGGAAACAGAGAAATCATTGAAGCCAACCTCCTTGTTTCACAGATGTAGAAACTAAGGCTCAAGGAGAGGAAGGGATTTGCCCAAAGTGCGTCTGTGGCAGAGCTGGGGCTTACATCCTTATCTCCTGAGTACAGATTCCATGTTCTTTCCACTACACCAGCTGGAATTGAAACTTGGGCTCTGAATAAGCCTGATTTGGAAGCTGCCCAAATCTGAAGGGAGATGGTTTTCCTGTTCGTCATCTTCAAATTGGCTAGATCTAGAAACTGAGCAGATCCAATCTTTTGCTGCTAAGTGCAGGAAACCTCTAAAGCTCATGCGTCTAGGTCTTTAAGGCTGCAGGGACTCTTCCTAGGAGAGATGCTCTCTGGACCTTCCTTTCTTTCCCCTCTGAGGAAGAGGCCCCACAATGACCCTGTTGTTTCATTTCAAATGCAGATGTGATTAACATGGACAATTGGCCTCTTGAGTGGCTTTGTCATAAGGATTTGGTTTCTTGGACATGATGCATTATCCTTAAAGGAGAACATGATTAATCAGGACTAGATTCTCCTGCCTAAGAGTCTGGGGAGCAGGAATTCAGAGTCAGTAAGAAGGTTTTTAAGTGAGACTAGAGAGGGCTGTATTTAAAACTAAGAAACTACCTCAGGTAAAGACATTGCGATGAAGTCTGGTAAAAGGTTTCCATTCCTGGGACTTCCACAAAATTGCGAGAAGGTGGTGAAAGAAGGAAGAAGACACCTACCTATGGCCACCTGCGGTCCTTGAGTGGGGCTGCACAGAACAGAGGAAGTCAATAGAAGGAGCTGGAGGTTTTAGTTCAAGACCACAGTTGTGACCCACTTAACATAACTGTATCCTGGTGGAAATGTTGAAAGGACTAGAAGATGAAATGGGAGGGCCAAGATTGTTCTTCAAGGATAGCAGGGAGGAAGGGGGGAAGAGTTGGTGGGCATGATTAATAATACATTTAAGAATAGGGCCTCTGAGGAAAGACTCCGGGAAGCTGGATTATTTCTCCTATAAAAATGGAAGTTGATAAGTGACTTAATGTCTTTGAGTATATGAGGGTTTATATATATTCTTTTCTGTCTACCTAAGGATAGAATAAGAGCTTAAACTGCCACAAGAGGGATGTCAGTTAAATATACCAAAAACTTCCTGACAGTGAGCAGTGAGGGGTAATAAACATTGGAACATGTTACCAAGGGAGTTTGCAGGATTTCCTTTCCCAGAGATCTTTAAAAATAGAGTTTAGAGGGTCAGCTGAGAAAGTAAAACCTGCTCCTCCTCCTTTGCTCTCTCTACTCTCTGCCTCCCCTTCTTTTCCTGTTATTTCTCAATATCTCTCTCTCTCCTCTCATCTCTCTCCCTCTCTCCCTTCCCATCCCCCCATCTCCAAAACTCCTTCCCATTCCTCATTCCCAACTGGCAACACCCGCATCCCATTTCCTGTATATCCTGATTCCTGTAGGAACCTTCCTGGAGCTGCTGTTGCTCCTAAGGTCAGGCTGTCCAGCTTCCTGCTGTTATGGACATCAAGTCCACCAAACTGGGCAGTAAACGTGAAAGCCCCACACTCATCAACAATAGCCCAATTCTAAAACAAAAAAAAAAAACCACAAAGCGATCCATGGGTCTGATCACTTGGTAGTTCTCGTTCTTTGGGCTCAGCTGAAATGTAATTTCGTTTTTGAAGCCTTCCCTGACCTTTCAGCATTTGGTCCCTATCACTAATGTAGCACTTCTACTAACCTATGACTGTGTCTATATCCTCAAACCTAACTCTAAGTGGGGCTGGGGGTGAGGGTGGTGAGAGAGAGGCAGAGAGAAACAGAGAGACAGAGATATGTGATAAGGGTGTCCAGCTCTTTAGCAGGAACTCCCCGAGGGCTGACTTTGTGTCATCGAAAGTCTCTAAACTCCTCAGAGTACACTCTTAGCAATAAATAACTACAAACGTAACACTGAGTCCTGTTTTTCAGGAAAGAAAGCAGGGCCTCCTGGGCCCAATGGCCCCCCAGGACCTCCAGGACCTCCAGGACCCCAGGGACCCCCAGGGATTCCCGGGATTCCTGGAATTCCAGGAACAACTGTTATGGGACCACCCGGTCCTCCAGGTCCTCCCGGTCCTCAAGGACCCCCTGGCCTCCAGGGACCTTCTGGTGAGTTCCTCTGTCTCTCCACTCCCCCTAGGTGCCTTATAAGTACTTTAGGAGAGCAGGAATAGGTGATCTGAGAGCCGTTTCAGATGGTGGTGATGGGGTTGGTTTGTAATAAGGGATGAAGGTCTCCTAGCCCAGTGTAGAGCTAGGCCTGGCCTGCTCTAACTTCTTATTTGTACCAAACTGTCAAGAACAGGCCACCTGTTCTTGCCCCATCTCAATCTTTCCATCACAAACCTTCCCTAACTCTTGGCCTCTCTATGGTAGGCCATCAAATTCACATGAGCCAGAGACAGAGGCCCTGATGGCTTGATGAAATTCTAGTCGGGGATGGATTTGGTCTGCTCTGATTCCCAGCATCTAGCTCCACATGCTAATGTTTGCATGGAAATAGGCTATGGGACAGAAAGTTGGGGACTGGACAAATGAAAAGCCCTAGGATAGTTTCATCCTCTGAACTCCAAAGTACCTTTCCCACAGAGGTAGACAAATAGTCACTGATGGTCAAGAAGTTGGAAACTTATGAGTCACTCCAGCTGTGGATGCAGCAAACCCAGGCACCAAGGCTGTTGTGTCCAGCAACCAAGTGCTTCTTGCACTAGATCCTTACCCTATCACACTGCCCATTCAGATACCAATTCATCCCTTTGCATCTTTCTCCTTGGGCCCAGAAGGGCACCCAAAAGGTATAGATGCAGATACAAACCTGCCTAATTGGAATTGACAGGAGCCAGACTGCCTGGGCTTATGTCAGTTGTTATTTATTTCTCCTGCTCTCCTCTTGTATCTCAGGGCTTTAAAGAAATGGACTCTTTACAGCTGATTTTTCTAGGTCCAAGAATTCTTCAGCAGGACTCAGATTCTTTAACTTATGATTCAAACAGGGCTAAGCAGTGTTACCATGACCACAAGAGATGGAGTTAGGGATTATTTTTTATCCAATCATTCCACAAATATTAATTGAGCACTTTCTGTGTACAAAGAGATATATTGGTAAGTGGTCCCTATCCTCATGAGTTTATCTCCTAGAGGAGGAGAGAGACAAAGAAACAAGATATTTACAAATGGCAATGGGCTCTACGAAGAAAAGTAATAGGGAGCAAAAGGCTAGAGAAGCTAATGCCATTGTCTCAGCGTCACACAGTATCAGAAATGCCCTCTCATCGCTCTCCATGGGTGCTCAGTGAGGCTTGCCTTGGACCAGTATTGGCAAGAGGCAATACCCAGCAGTTTCCCTTTTGGGTACTGGGCCCGCTGATGATGAAAGGCAGGGACAGAAAAGGGAAGGAAGGAGTGTCCTCTCTCATCCAAGGGCCCCGAGTTGCACTCTTACTCTTTCTCCAGCTCTAAGCCCTGGAGAATAAAGCTCAGACAGGACTGGCTATAGGGAGCAAAGCTCACTGCCACTAGCTGCTCAGGTGAGGAGAAAGGGAAGTAGAAAGAGCCTGCCCTCTGATTGTCCTGTCTTATTTTGCAGGTGCTGCTGATAAAGCTGGAGCCCGAGAAAACCAGGTTGGCTGGGGATTGCTCCCTTCCTGGGAGAAGGGAAGGCCAAGGGCCAGAGCCACCTTTAAATTAGCTCCCTATTAAATTTCCTGAAGCTTTATTTTGTAAGGACACCCTGGAGGTCCTGAGGGTTTTCACTCACAGACTCCTCTCATCTCTATGAATACAAAAGCTTTGCTCCGGGGCCTGTTTTTAGCTAACACAACCAAGTCTGCCAGGACCATTTTTCCTTAATATACAGGAGAGAGGGCCACCATAGCCAGGTCCAGTACTCAGCTTAAACGAGCTGCCAGTCAGGCCTATTCACCTGGGCCTCCGACTCCCCGACCACCCCAGACACCTTGTCAGCACTCAGACCACCTGGGATCTGGAGCTGAGGCATTTAAGAGTATGTCCTTGAAAAAGAGCCAACCAGCTCAAGCCCAAGCCCAGCCTGGGCTTCTGCTTCATGTCCTGAAGGGCTCCTCCCAGTCTTCCAGCTGCCTAATCTGTCTCTATTGGCGGGTCCTGCTGCCTTGCCTTGTCTCATCTCAGCCTCCTCACTACAGCTGTGTGGCCGCAGTGATAAATCTACACAGCTGCACAGTGCTTGATGGCTTGCAGGGCAATTGTATATCCATCACCTAATTTGATCTTCAAATATCCATGTTAGAGAGGTCAGACAGAGATTCTTATAATCCCCATTTTACAGTTAGGGAAATGAGGCTCAGAGGCATTTCATTTGGCTGAGGTCACATAGCTAGGAAGTGGCAGAGCTACAAAATCATATTACCCTCTAGTAGAAATGTAGTCAGTCACTAACATCCCAAGACAAGGGAGAGGGATCAGAATTGGATTACAAAAGGAGACTAGAAACCAGGAGTGGAAACATGGGAACCAGTGGCTGAGCAAGCAGCCATTACTTATAGTGACTGCTCTCTATCCTTCTCATCCTCCCAGCCAGCTGTGGTGCATCTACAGGGCCAAGGGTCAGCAATTCAAGTCAAGAATGGTAAGAATCAAAGTAGGCTCTCTCCCTGAGAGGAGCTTCTCCTCTCCCTCATTCCCAGTCTCCAGATAATCACCCAGCCTAGTTCCTCCCAGGCCTCTGAGGTACCCTTGGTATAAGGGGCCATTCTCTACTCCATCATGCCCTCTACTGGTTGTCCTGAGTAATTGCTTGCACCAAGACCTAAATTGCATTTAGAATCACTGATGAGGGAGCTGAAAGGAATTTGAGACATCATCAAGCCTGGGCATTCTTGGGAGAGAGAGGTGATATCAGAGTCACCATGGAGATATGTGTAGTTTGACAAACACTTTCACAATACAAATTAAGAAATTAAAACTACATAAAATTAAATTATTCTTGTCTGATGGATCTACACAGAAAATGGGTAGAGAGGCTGTTTTTCTCAGGGAAGTGGGGGGGCATGTTAGGATCCCCAGGGAGTATGAAATGCTAGTGTCAAGCAAAAGTGAGACTGTGTTTAATGAGGTTAAGAAACACTGATTTAATGTAATTTCTGCATTTAAAAAATGGGGAAACAGAGTACCAGAGAGATTGGATAATACCATAATAAATTGTACTGCCTTATATTTGTATGGTACTTTAGAGTTTTCAACAAGCTTTGTCTTTTTTTTTTTTTTTGAGACAGAGTCTCACTGTGTTGCCTGGGCTAGAGTGAGTGCCGTGGCATCATCCTAGCTCACAGCAACCTCAGACTCCTGGGCTCAAGCGATGCTTCTGCCTCAGCCCCCCAAGTAGCTGGGACTACGGGCATGCGCCACCATGCCCGGCTAATTTTTTTCTATATATTTTTAGTTGGCCGATTAATTTCTTTCTAATTTTTAGTAGAGGCGGGGTCTCGCTCTTGCTCAGGCTGGTCTCGAACTCCTGAGCTCAAGCGATCCTCCCGCCTCGGCCTCCCAGAGTGCTAGGATTACAGGCGTGAGCCACCGCGCCCGGCCCAAGCTTTGTCTTTTATTTCATGTGATCTTCACAACCACCCTATGAGGTAGGTATTAGCTCCTTTTTACAGACACAGAAACTGAAGCACAGAGAGGTTAATTAACTGGCCCAAGATTTCACAGTTAAGTTTAGGTGCTGGGATTCAAATCTATCTGACTCTTTCCCCTGCACTGTGCTTCTTCAGTGATGTGTATGTACACTCCACTGAATGATTAGGTTCATTTTCTTCCCCAAAGAGACATGAACATTCATTATAGAACAGCGCTTTGAAATAATGTCCAGTCCCCGGTGCACAAAGCCTGAAATGCATGAACCCCAGGAGCCCCAGGAAGCAGCAAGCTGGCCGAGATGCCAGATGCTGGCAGAGCTTGGAGTGGAAGGGAGGGGCCGTGAGTGCGGGAACAGTAAATCAAGGTTAAGAAACCTGCTACGTGGGGATAGCTTCTAAGAGCCCAATCAGTCCTGAACTGGCTGTGCTGAGTTTCCTTAATGATTGGACTTAGCTACTCCCCTGACTGCCGCCTGGATGGCTGACTCAATAGCCTCAGAAGTGTAAATAGGAACAGAATGGCACCAAAACCCAAGTGGTCCTGCTGGGAACTCCAAGGCCCTGGGTGGGCCATGATCACCATCTTTCCAGGGAGGACTGAGACAGGCAAGAAATAGATTTGTTTGGGTATCTAGATGGGTGGCCTCAGTGTTTATTCTGTGTCAGCAGCTACTGATTTTGCTCCCACTACCGTATAATGAGACTGTTTCCAGCCCCTCTGGGACAGTCCCCAGTATTACTCTGTGCTGACCTTCAGTTCCACCAGAAAAAGTGATGGGGTCAGGTGGAAGGACGACATGCAGAGTGGTCCATTTAAGGGATAGAGCCAGACTATCTCCTCCTAACTCCTATCCCATCCACTTATCACCTTGAGGGAAGATGGCACCTTTTCCAGAAAGCCTGTTTCCTAACACCTCAGAGAGGCAGGCCCCCTGAGACTGGCCAAGGATGGACATTCAAAACAATTTATTGGGTGAAGAATGGATGGCTTAGAAGAGAAAGGGCCCCATGGGCTTGGATGACCTCCTCTCAGGGTAGGAAGGAACATACCTCTTTTAGCAGGATAGAAAGAAATTTCTCCTCCACCCTCACATGCTGGCTCCCACTGTCCTACCAAACAGTATGACTGCCCCTCCACCCCTGACTGGGGTGGGGCCAAGAGACAGATGCTTTGCCAAGGGTGCCTCAGCTCCCAGACACTCTCCCCTGTTCTTCTGGCTGGTTCTAGTACAGCCTAGAAGTCTATCCCTCACTCTCATAAGGACCCCTCTCACCTCTGGGGTCTTGGTACTGATGGTCACTAGCCCTGGCTGCCATGAAGTCTGAATCACCCCTTATCCCTAAGGTTCCCCAGATAGACAGTTCCTTGGACTGAATTGCTTCCTGGGGGCTCAGGGAGGCCTTCCAGAAAGGTGTGGGTGTGATGGAACCATAAAAAAGAATCTCTCAAGGAGAAGGAGAAAATGCATGAACCTATGAGACCGGAGAGGGATTCAGTAGCTATGGCTAGGAAAGTAACATTGAATAATAAGACCTAGCCTGCCACTTAGTGTCTGAATCTTGCCTGTGCAGGCCCCATAACAACAAAGAAAATAGGGCAGCGTGCCCACGCTCATCTTACTCCTCTCTCCCCAAGATTCCAGCTAGAAGGTGTTGAGTAAAGACCCTTCCAGATGGAGAGGTCAAAAAAAGAAGGATGAAGACAGAAAGGCAGACTCCAGGAGCCCTGAGCTGCTTTACAAACAGAACACCTTCTCTGCTTCCAAATGCTCTTCTTAAAGCTTGGCCTTCTAGGCTATCCTGGTTGCATTGGTATAGGGGTGGGGGTTATGTACTGCTCGGTATTTCTTATTTTCTATTGCCCAGATTATTCTGACATGTGCTGAGTGACTGCCCTTCTCTCATACTGAGATCTTTCAGGTGGAGTGCTCAATGACTGGTCTCGCATCACTATGAACCCCAAGGTGTTCAAGCTACATCCCCGCAGCGGGGAGCTGGAGGTACTGGTGGACGGCACCTACTTCATCTATAGTCAGGTAGAAGTGAGTACGGTCTTAGGCCTAACTCTTCTTATATCCAGAATGCAGATCCAGTGCAGGCCACATAGGGGCACTGTGGAACTAGCCAAAATCATCCAATGGCTAACTTCCTTTGGTGGGTGAGGGAAGTAGGGGAACAGCATTGGGAGGGAGTAGAAAGGAGGAAAGAGAGAGGAGGCCTGCTTCGCGGTTTTTTGTTTGTTTGTTTGTTTCCCTAGCCAAATATTGAAGAACTGAAAAGAGGCCCCTCCCACACGCTACCATCTGATTCCCTCTTGCAGGGCCCCAGGCCCTTGTTTCCCCTCTGAGCTGTTTGGTTCTACTGCCAAACTTGAACTTGGTCTCAGCATATTCTCTGAAAGTCAGTTCCAGGGCTGCTGAGAACCCCTCCCCTCAATACTGCTAGCTTGGGCATTACAATGAACAGTGCTCCTGTGGACTTTCTCTCTACCTCAAAAAGATTTCTGACTGTCTTTCCTTCCTCTTCCTCCCATTTGTTTCTCTGTCTTTCTGTTTCTCTATTATTCTCGCATCCTTCCTACTGTCATTCTCCCAGCCTTTTCTCCCTTTGCTTTTATCCTTCCCCTGCCCTGGGCCCACTCCCCAAGTCTGCCAGTGCCCATCCACTTCCATCCCCCATCGTTTGCTCCAGGAAGGTGGCTCCTCAAAGATAGGGGTGGATGAGCCTTGAGGTTGAGGCTTTTGTAGGCAGGCAGCAAGCAGGCGGACGGACAGGAGGACCACAGAGCCCACAGATGGGTCTAACAGGAGAGTGGCCAGAGAAGGTGGGTTAACAAGAATTTGCTCGGCACACTAAGTATCTTGGCATAGCTTGGGTCCTGACCTAAGAGATTATACGGCACCTGAATACACTGCCCCCACCTGAAGAGCTCATGGAGAAGGCGGATTTTCATAAAGTGATTTAGGATGATGGATGAAGGTCCCAAGCCCCATGGGGCATGTGGGTATAATCGCAAGGTCCTCTGACCTATGAGCTCCATGTGGTGGGAGTTAGGGAATCAAAGCTTGGAGTGGAGTGTGACGGATAAGAGTAGTGAAGGATGGAACAGTTAATTTTCTGGACCTAGGAAAGAATTGGGAGTGGTCCACACATGCCAGGAAAATCCCCATGATGTCAGGCCATTGAGCATCGGTTAGTGCTTCCCTCTGGCCACGAAGTGAAATTAGGGGCCTGGCTTTTGCCCTGCTAAATTCTTTATCTCATTTGTGGTGGATTAGCTCTCCATCTCTGTGGACCTGTTTCCTCAGTCGTCAAATGAGAGGGCCAAAGGGCGCTGTGAATCAGTGAGGAAAGTTCAGCTGCAGGGGCGAGTTGCTGCAAGCTGAGTGAGCTTCTGTTAAAAAGCTGAAGAAATGGCAAGTTATGTGACCTCTCTGGGGAATCTAAGTTTCTCCACAAATCGTCCGTGAGGCCTGCAAGTGGAAGTTAGTTTGTGTCTATAGCCCTGATTGAGCACCTAATATGTGCACAGCACTGTGCTTCATGCCAGAGCTGGGGCAGGGGTGGGGTGTAAGGGAGCAATTAAGGCATGGTTCTTGGCCTCACCGAGTTAATGACAGGTGTGCTGTTGTAAGAAAGGCTTTTTCAGCCACCTGAGCCCCCTGCAGTGGGAGTACAGTGCATAAACCTGTCACCCTGCCATTCCTGTTGGCCGGCCAGCACAACTTCAGTTGGCCCTGCCACCTCCACAAGGTATACTGGCAGCTCATCTGAGAAGGTTCTGTCTGTTCACGACAGGGAGGGTCCCCACCCTCTCTTTCCTCTCTTCCCCAATCCCTTCTTGTTGCCTTTCACCCAGGTGTACTACATCAACTTCACGGACTTTGCCAGCTATGAGGTGGTGGTGGACGAGAAGCCCTTCCTGCAGTGCACCCGCAGCATCGAGACGGGCAAGACCAACTACAACACTTGCTACACCGCAGGCGTCTGCCTCCTCAAAGCCCGGCAGAAGATCGCCGTGAAGATGGTGCATGCTGACATCTCTATCAACATGAGCAAACACACCACCTTCTTTGGGGCCATCAGGCTGGGTGAAGCCCCTGCATCCTAGATTCCCCCCATTTTGCCCCTGCCCCTGCCCCAGATTTGGGAGCCGGGACTCCCAGAACCTCTAAGTGCTGCTGTGGAGTGAGGTATATTCGTATTGCAGCCACAGAGAGAAATGCCCCACTGCTATTTATTCCCCAGTGATTCCAGGATGACACGGCCTGCTTGACTTTCCAGAATGACCTTGAGTTAACAGGACAGTTGATGGAGCCCCAGGGTTTACATGAAGCAGAACCTTCTTTGGCTCCCTGCTGACTGGCTTATGGCATGGCTTTTCAACCCCCAAGGTCCCTGTTGTCGGAGTTATCGTTCGTTGCACTAAAATGAGGATCCAGGGCAGCAGGCCAGAGAAAGCAAAGGTGCACTCCAGACTCTGGGGGGAATAACTGACCCAAGGGGGCTGCTGCTCCTCTCTTGGGAGGGGGTCGGGGTGGGGGCGAGTGGGAAGGGAGCGTTGCAGCCTAAGGAGAGGGCCAGGGAGGGCAAAGGCAGCTGCCTGTGGCAGAGACCACGTGAGAAAGCTGCCACGAGGGCAGCCTCAGTAGTGGAAGCATTCTTGCTGCTCCACACTGTGGCCTGCAGGAGGGCCAGAGAGCTCTTCCCACTCGGGCTGAGAGCCATGCTGTGGCAGCTTGCTGGGCTGTGGAGAGGGAAGGCTTGCTCTGCCTCGGATCAATTGCAGGGAATGGCCACAAACCTGCCTGCACGTAAGAACCTGAATGTGTACTTCGGGCCACATGTCTCTCATTTTGTTTACAGCTGTGCTCCACACTCAGAAAACTCCCTGGGATGGCGTCCTCATTGCCCCCATTCCCAGCCTGACTAGAACTCCTGTCTTGTTGCTCCACAGAGCCTACCTCTGTCTGAGACAGGTGCCTAACCTGGGACCTGTGCTCGTGTGAGTCCGGGACGTTCTTTAGCTTATCTGGGCACAAAGAGAATTTTCCATTTATTAAGCAGCACAAATGTTATTCATCTAATCCTAATTGAATTGTGTCTGGGGATAAAAGGTTGGACTGGATGACCTCTAGAAGTCCCTTCAAGTTCTACTATTTCTGACTCTTAACAGGCAGCCACCACAGTAGCCTTCTAAATTCCCAAGCCCTGGGCTGCCCCTGGGCGTCAGCAAGGCACAGCCTTTCTGCCTGGCCTCGAAAGGACAAGAGGTGGGGAGAGGACAGAGGGGTTTTGTTCAAGTTTGCTGCAACTCCAGTGGTCATTAGTCCAGGCCTTATCTGAAAGGACAGCGGCTCACGCTCTACTGACCCAGCCTGTCTTCATTCTGGCTTCATAAACCATAGCAGAGCATAGTCACCACAGATGCCAGGCTCAGGGGAAGCCAGTGTCTAGGCATCAATGTCTAGGCTTTGGGCAGGGCTCTGTCCCCTAGTTCAGGTCCAAAGGCACCTTCCCTTTATCCCCAAGCTTTCCACCTGATCATATGGTAGGACCATTCAAGGGCCCTCCTTATTTCTGACAGCCTGGGCCCAGCCTGGCTTCTGGGTGCTAGGTCCAGTCCAAAACTGGGAGCGCCACCCTTGTACAGTCCAGTCCTCTCGCTCCTGAAAGGAGTTTTCATTTCAGAAGATGGGGAATAAGTTCCTCCAGGCAGCTGAAATCCACCAAGAGCAACAGGTACTTATTTCTCAGCTGTGTCTTCCCTTTCTAAGCAACTATACTGCTCGGTCCTTCCAGGGTCAGGGCAAGAAGTGGCGGGCTAGGCCTCCATTGTCTAGTTGCTAATGATGGCCTTGCGAACCCAAGGTGAAGCAAACTTTAGGCATGTGTCTGTCCCCAACTCCTATAAAGTGCCTTGGACAGTGTGCAGTTGTAGCAGGAACCAACAGGAACCTCTCCTTAAAGTCTGGAAAGTACTTCCTCTTTTATTATCTTCTTTGAAGGAGGCAGGGCAGATAATACAGCAAATGCTATTGTTTAGGTGAAGCTCAGAGAGATTAAGGACTTTGACCAAGATCTCACCCAGTTTAAGTCACAGACCTGAGGCTTCAGCCAGGTCTAACTCCAAAACTATTCTGTTACACCACAGCGTCATGTGGAATCTCAGGTCTAGAGAGAATCAATAAAATTGGTAATATGGAACCAAAATCCTTGACAGTCCTAGGGAGAAACCCAGAGATGCCCATTTTCATCCCGTGATGGTAGTGCCTGTTCTCTTGGCCACCAGGGATTCTGTGGCAAAAGAGTCAGACATTTTTTGGGGAAATAGTCATCATCCTCAGATGTCTTGTGTTCAGAAGAATCTTGTTGACACCATGTCCAAGCAGCAGGCCTCTGGGACCCACAGAACTGGTAGCCCTCATGTTCTTTCCCCCATCTGAGGAACCAGCCAACCATCATGTGTGGAGCCCCTGCTGTGGGCAAGGTCCTCCTTTTGTTACCCTGCTGACAGCTTACAGGAGCCAGCCCACTGCCCACAGCTACTAAGTATGACTCCTTATCTCTTTCTATCATACCACAGAGACCTTAGCACTTCCAGGGGCTCTCAGGGATGGAGGGAAGACCCAAGATTGGTTCTAAGGCCAAAAAGGTCTGAGGAGAGAAGAGGAAGTCTTCTTAATCATGCCTCCAAAGAGCGTTCTGATACCCAGTCTATTGTCCAGACATGGAGGGGATTATAGGGGAAATAGGATTCCCATCTGACCCTTTATTCATTCTGAACCCCCAAAGGAACCCTGGGGGGGATGACGAAGGAGCAACGGGTAGCTGGGGCCCCTATTGCTGCGAAGTCATTGACAAAGTGGGGAAGTGACTTACTGATAAGTGAATGTGGGAATAGATTGACAATTTGGAATTATGCTGATGTGAGTTTACCAGAGGGCCAAGGCTAGTGCGAAGAATGGGACAAGAACATTTGTGGGCAAGCAGATGACAGAGATTTGAAGAATTGCATGGCAGAGGCCTCTGCCAGCTGCTTGGGCTTCAACAGCCAAGCTGGCACAAAAGGCAGCTGTCAGAGGCTACTCAACTACTGGTTACCTGGAAAAATAGTATTTGCCTTATTTCCCCCTTCATCCATCCTGAGCCAAATTTCTTTTGCTGAACAGGAAAGAGCTAGGAACCCTGGTGGCAAACAAAGACTTTGATCCACATTGTGTGTGTGTTTTATGTAACTTCTGGTGGACGCAAATTTCCAGCTAAAAAGGCCCCTAGAGGGAATCTAGCCCAACCTACATTCCACCCCCTGTTACTCATGTGGAAACTGAGGCCCAGAGAAGGAAGGGGACCTACCCAAAGTGGTGCGCAAGCCCCGACTCCAGACTCAGCAGAGTGACGGAGTAGCGTAGTCCCTGTCCCACATGGCCCTCTTTCTCCTACCCGCAGACTCCAGGCTGGAAATGCTTGGCCCCCTCCAGGAGCCTGGCCAGGCAGAGAGTAGCAGCCTTCATCAGAACTCTTCCTCCTCCCAAGGCATTCTCCCAGCTCTTGCCTCTGGACTGGAAGGCTCTAGACTGGCCCACTACCAGGAAGTCCTTAGGCTACTCTAGTCCTGCCTCGGGCCCCATCCCTGCCTGGAGTCTCCCTGAGGCCCTGTGAGCACAAAGAAGGAAACTGATTTTTTTTCTCTTAATCCATTTCAGGGCTCTTTCCAGGAGGGGTTGGGGTGTGCCACTTCTTCATTCCTCCAGCTGGGATAGGGGGGTTTTGTTTTGAGAATGGCCTGGAGCAGGCCCAATGCTGCTTTTGGGGGGCCAGCATCCAGTGTGAGATACTGTGTATATAAACTATATATAATGTATATAAACTGGGATGTAAGTTTGTGTAAATTAATGGTCTGTTCTTTGCAAATAAACTGCTCCCCCCTTCTTGAAATTGCCTTGAGCACTTCCTACATGTTAGGTGCCTCTTTGCAAGTGACACCTCACATGAGCTAGGGGAAGGACCAAGGTACGCATTTTAGAGGGGGCTACAGAAGGAAGGTAGTCTGAGTTTTCTGTCAAAACATCCCCATCCATCATCCTCTCTGCCCCAGACCACATGCCCCCATCCCCATCACCTTGTATCTTCTCCTATAACCACATGCCTGGTAGGTAGATATCCCACCAAAAGGAACATTGTCCTGGAGCAGGGACACACAGCATGGAGTCACCCTCAGCTTGAGACTGTGGCATCTATAACATATTTCAGGCCTGGGCCCAAAACAGCTTGGGTAGATCCAGCCTCCAGCTCCTCAGGAGGGTCTCATCCCATTTTGCAGATTTTGAGCATTGAGGAAACCAATGCTCAAAGAATTTAAGTAGCTTGCCCAAGGTCACCCAACAAGTGAGTGTGTCTGGCTGGTCTGATTCCCGGTCCAGTACCCTTTCCACCACCCTACCATGCTGGCTCCACACTTGGCCCCAAGCTCTTTGCATGAATGTTGTAATAAGGAAGAGGCTCCCAGGAAGAAGACCAGATAGCAAGCTCAAGAAGACATAGCTCAAGGGAGTTTTGGGCACTTTTCACAACCCCAGCAGCCTTTGCTCCCATTATATAGGTGGAAAAGGTGACACTTAAGCAGCAATGTGCGCACAGTAGCACATGACAAATCTGCATTGGCCAAATGTGCAGGGCCTGGATATTGGAGCCCAGGCTGGGCCTCTGGCCACCTTAGAGGTCTTTTTTTAAAAGGAAACCAGTCACAACAATCTTGCAGACTGTTTAGAAACATGGACGCTCAGGGAAAACGTAATCTTTGGCACAAGATGTAACAGAAACAGCAGAAAAGTGGAAGCATGTCTTTGCCCCACGGTGTACAAATCATCACATGAGGCAGGCACCCAGGGCAGAGGCAGCAGATCACACTGTAGTAAACACACACGATGTTCTAGCCCAAATTGTCGAGCTCAGTGCAGGTAAATCACTGGACCAAATGGCATCCACCCAAGAGGGATGGAACAAAGGAGCTGTGTGCCAAATTGTGTAACCTGTCATTGCAACAACCACTGAGCCAAGAGTCTGAGACTTGCTATTCAGAAGGAGAGTTCCTTATGGCTGCTGGAAGCCAGGTACCTCACTTCCATCTGAGCAGTCTGGCTGACTCTCACACAAAGGGCAGACATAGGGCCAGGCAAGTATAGGCGAGTTGCTGGGGCAAAGACAGAGAAAATTAGGCCTGAGCCTGACCCACTCTGTTACAGCTTTATGAGGCAGAAACAGTGTGGACCAGGGAGTAGCAGGGGGTATCAGTTACTTCAGCCTTCAACACAAGATCCCACATTGTAAACCTTTTAAAAAATGAGATGCCATGAAATTTAGGACATTGCTCAGGAACAGGACATGGGTAAAGTGGTTGGAGGGGAATAATTTTGGGGAGCTTTCCAATTTACAAAGTTCAATCACATCCAGTATCATCTGATCATCCCAACAGCCTTTGAGGTAAGCAGGGGAGGGATTATTAAACCCGTTTTATAGATTAGGAAACTGAGGCTCAGTGGTGACTGATTGCCCCAAAGTCACATGTCTTGAAGGTGCGGAGCCTGAACTCAAAGCCCACCAGCTCTCAAGGCACCCAGTCCTGCATGAGTCTTGATGCCATGAGATGGGGCTGTTTGAGAGGTAGAGAAGGAAAGACATGCGCAGGGATCCTAGAGCCCTCGAAACAGACTAGTTGGGGCACACGGTATCAGAAGATGGGATTTTTATTCCGTCCATTGTTTTCCTTAATGCTGGTGCCAAGGTGCCTTCAGGTACCTGTCCCCTAGGGTCTCCCCTGCTTCTTGGGGCTGTCTCCCCTGTAACCACAAGGAAAAGGCAGAGAAGAGCTGGAAGGAGAAAGCAACAAAGTGGGAACAGGAGTGCAGAAAACATCCAAATGGACAGCCCCTTCCCATAATGAGGACTGGCCCATAGGGCTGTGGTCCCCAAGCCCTGAGCCGCGGACTGGTGCTGCTCCATGGCCTGTTAGGAACTAGGCTGCACAGCAGGAGGTGAGCAGGAGCGAGTGAAGCTTCATCTGTATTTACAGCTGCTCCCCATCACATTCCATCCCCCCACCCACCCTGGGTCCACGGAAAAATTGGTTCCATGAAACTGGACCGTGGTGCCAAAACGGTTGGGGACCACTGCCTAGGGGACTTTTGTCCTCCTGTTTTCACTGGCTCCATCATACCTTCCAGCCAGGCTGAGAGGCTGCTGGGGATGTCTGTCAAATTATCACCAGCTCCTGGGTCTCTGAGATGCCAAACTTGGTCTTATGTTCGTCAAACAGTTTGCGTAGAGCATCAACATAGAGTGCGTGGTATTTAGCCACGATCTCCTGGCTCGGATTCTCAACCTTGGGCAGTGGTAGAGGCTCCCCAACTGCCGGGGGAGACAGAGAAGGAAAAGGGAAAAAAGCATCAGAATAGTTCACTCCTCAGAATGGGCCCCAGGCCTCAAGCCCAGGCTCTCCCCACCCTCACCTCAAAGCCCCCACCCATCTTAGCCAGGCTCCCTGCCTCTAAGCATAGCCCAGCCTCAGAGCTGGATCCTGAATCCTAGACCAAGGCTGCGAGCACGAGGGCCCACTCACCAATGGTGGTCACAGGCCGAGCATAGGGAAGTAAGCCCCAGGAGTTCTTGGTGAAGCCACGGCCATAGAAAGCACAAGGGTAGATGTGTACCATTCTCCGGAACCACTTCTGGAAGCGGTTGGCCAAGCCCCCAGGAGTAAAAATGTGCTGATCGTAGAGGTCTGTCTCCCCAAAGGCATATGCAGGGATTAGAGCCACCCTGCAGAGGAAAAGCATGTCCTTTGATGCCCAGAAAGGTAGGGACTCTGCTAAAAGCCAGGCGTGCTGCCAGTGGTCCCCGGGTCTGCCTGCAGGCTCCTGAGACCCCAGCCCAGCTGTGCGTAGGTCCAAGCTCAATGTGGGGGCCCCACGGCCTAGCCCTGGCTGCCTGTGGAGGAAAAGCAGCAATAAGCTGCAGGGAGCAAGCCCAGCCCCTCCTGTGAAGCCCCAGGTTTGGAACACTGGAAGATAAGACCTGAGAGCCATCCCCGTTGGCTTCCCTCTCTGTAACCCACAGGCTACACCTGGCCCTCTCTGAGATGGGGAACTGGCCCAGAAGAGAGACTGGTGTGAGGGATAATAGGCTCAGGGCTGGCCCTCTACGCTTGCTTCGTAAGCAGAAATGCCTCCAGGACCTGGCCTTGGCTCTACTCCAACCCAGACGTGGCTTTCCTCCACCCTCCTTTTTCTCCTATTTTTAATCGACAAATAAAAATTGTATATATTTCTGATGACTATAGTTAATAACAACATATTGTATACTTCCATCTCCCTCTTTAGATAGCACTTCCTCAAAACCCCTTCCTCCTTCCCTGCCAGGCTTTCGAATCCCCTTCCCGCAGTCTGGACCAGAGCTGTTCTTACCCATGTCGAAGGGCCATGCGCACAAAGCCAGACCGGTTCTTCAAGACCAGGGTGGAAGAGCCTGGCTGGCTGTGTCTGCACTCAGCCAGGCCACCAACCACAACAATGAGCATGTTGCCTGTGCCTCTACGGGTAAGCAGAAAGTCCATGGAGGACTGGCTCACAGAGCAGGCACCTGGCGAGCAGAAAAAGCCAAACAGTCCTTGGCCCCTTCCCAAACCCCCTAACTTTCCGCCCTATCCCTTGAAAGGAGGGAGCAAGGAGCCTCACTTCAAGCAGGTGAGCCTAGGGTAGCTGTCTACGAGCAGAGCAGATCATGGAGTTGGCCTTGCTCTCACCCATCGCCCTATACTTCTCCCTTGGGAAGCGATTTCTTCTTTGGCTTTATGTCCCAGGAGCCAACTCACCTGTAGACATTACATATTCTCTGAGGACAGGCACCCAGAAAAAGGCTCCCAATGTGAGCATATAGGGGGTGATGCCAGGAAAGATCTTGGAGAAACCTGAGGTCTCTGTGGAAAAGTGGCCAAAGCACGCATGGGACATGAGCCCATGAGGGTGGCAGGCGAGGATGTAGTTGTGGCTGGGGGAGATATCGTGAGTCTTCAGAAGCTGTGGGGGAAAGTGGAGTCAGGAGGGCTACAGCCAGGGAAGAGGACTCCTCTTTCGGCCAGAGACCCAAAAGGGAACGGGCTGCTGGGCCCAGCCATGCAGGTTGGGCGATGTACGACCCCAGGGGGTGTCACTGTCACAGGCTGCGGCGTGGATGATGCCCTCCACCCCTAATCTGACCCAACCGCTAGCGCTGGAGCTGGGGCTGGGCCCAGGGCCTGAGTGGGGACCTGGGGCTACTCACCTTGAGCGGGAAGTAATTGCAGTAGTGTCTCCACAGACACCACCTCCTCACACAGTTAAAGCGGCGGCCACCTGAAAGCAGACGCAATGCAGCTGCGCTGTGCCCGCCCCCGCGGGGGTCCGCCGCAGGTGCCCTCACTCACCGCGGTCTCCTGGCCTCTTAACTGACAACCAGGGCAGGCACAGCTGGGCCAGTTTAGGACAGACGTGGCTTCTGCTTCACCAGTTGCCCCTCTCCTAACCCACTCCAGTTCTGATCTGGGGCCTTTCTAGCACCTGAAAAGGACCCCTTCCCTCAGCTTCTCTAGCCCAGGAGGGACAGGCTGAAGGGTTGCCTGAGAATTGGCCAGAGCCTTTTAGGACTGTAATGAGAACAGAGGAAAGAGCGTGTGATGCGTGGCAGCACGGTGCCGGCGGGGCCCTTACCTCGCTCGGGGGTCTTCCAGTCAAAAGCCAGCCAGGCGAGCATGAGCACAGTAGCAGGCCAGTACGGTGTGAACATCACCAGGTAGAGGTTGACAAGGATCACGGTGGTTACTGGAGGAAGCCCAGCCCAGAGTGAATGAACTGTGACCCACGCCTCACGCTCACCCTCCCTCTGGAGTTCTGGACCCCAAGGTC